GACGATCTCCTCGAGCTCTGAAACGCACAGCTTTTGATCGATCGATATGTATTTCTTCTTCCCTTGTGCATCAAGAACCCAACGAACACGCTGTCCCGTGAACGTAAGATCGTTCTTGTCCTCATGGCCGACAGTGAAGTGTTCCTTGATTTTCTTGAGGAACCAAGTGAGGAACTCAGGGGTTCCACTTATGATGAGATCATCAACATGGAGACTCATCACTCCAACTGTCTTACGGCCTTTGCTGGGACTTCCATGCACAGGGTCAACAAAGTGTTCAAGAAGCTGATCAACCAACTCGGGAGAGAGCTCAGACAGGCTCTCGACCTTGTATGAAGCCTTCTCGGGAAGGAACAAGGAGACGAGAACCTCAGCTTCTTCTTCAAGGAAACTGGTCTTGTCACCCTTGTCCAACCTCAGATCATGGGCCCTCTCGACAATCCACCATGTACCTTTACGAAGGATCATGGAAACTCGATAAGGGTAGTCCTTGACCTGATAGACAGGTGCAGGAGTACGAAGAGCCTTGGCCCTGTGAGAAACGAGAGCATGCCCGTTCTCATAAGGGAACCAACCTCTCTTCTTACAAGCAACACTGCCCAAGAATCCGAGAAGCTTATCATCAGTCACAGGTCTCCAAGCATAGTCAACCATCTTCTTGGTATCGGTGTTAAAGCACTGAGCGATATCGGGACATGAAAGATAGGATCTCTCCTCCGCACGGTCGGAGGAAGAACGGTTTCCTTCATCGTATGCGTAGCATGTCATGGCATGAAGGGCAACCTCCTTGAGGTAGGCAGGTTCCACCTCAAGAGAGGTGCTTCCTGCTTCAGGTTCCTCCTCCTGAGAGGAGCTTCCTGCCGCAAGGTGGCTCTTGCCCTTCTTGCCTTCTATGCCGTCGTATGCGACATAAGTGCATCGGTCAGCTCTGGTCGGTTCCATGCCTACAGACCTGAGGAATTTGTCCAAACGATTCCACCATCTTCTCGGTGCATCGTTCAGACCATAGACCGGTCTGAGACAAAGGCCAACCATCCAGGTAGGCAAACCGATGTCAGGAGGCAACTGAACCACAACCATGCGAGATGACAGATTGTAGTGTTCCCCCTGAAGGAAAGCGGTCTTAAGATCCAAATGAAAAAGATCCCAATAGTGATTGGCAGCGCACTGCGCAACCAAACGGAAACCATACCGAGTAGCCGTAGGGCTGTCCGTTTGTTGATCCCAGGCAAACTTGTCCTGAAACCCACGACAAACCCAACGGGCTTTGAACTTGGAAAAGTAACCGTTCTTGTCAACCTTCACAGTAAGGACCCAACGTCCGGTAAGAAAATTGACATCGTTCTTAAGCTTGCGACGGTCCGTCAGCCGAATTGCATCATTGTCCAAGTAACTCTTGAACTCCCCAAGCTTAGCCTTCCGAATTTCGGCGGCATACTTGCGCTGCATCTCCGGCGTGAGGGTACCCGCCTTGATTTTATCCTGCTTAGTCAACCACGACGCAAAACCATCACCATCCAACGGAACAAAGGACGGACCTTGAAGTCCGACGGAGGGCGAATCAAAACGTCGTCGTCGCCAATAGCCAGGGCAAGCAAACTCTCATCACGATAGTCAACCGTTGCATCCGAATCGGTATCCTCACCCGCTTCCGGCACCGGCGGTTCCGGGGTGGGTTCCGGGAGTGGTGTTTGCTGGATAGGAAATTCCCCCTCAGTCACCGGCAAACCAGGAACAGGAGCCGGATCAGAAGAAGAGGAAGCAGGCTCCTAAAAGCCCGGAAAGTCACCCGACGGATCGGGATCCTTCTTTCCCGCAGAGTGCCCAGGCAACAGCACAGCCGGAGGTCCCACAACGGTACGTGATTTGGCCTTAGACACATCGTCAGGATGTGCGCCTCTTGCGCGTGTCTGAGACACGTTACGAGGTGACGGCGGTCTCATACTCTGTGGCACCGGAAAGTGAGGATGCGGCGGAATTGGAACAGGAACAATAGGTGAAGGTGGTGCGGCCACGGCATCGGTGGACTGAGAACCTGGTCCGGGTTCGCAAACTGCGGAGGAGCCCCAGGAGAGTCGGGAGGACCTCCAGGAGGAGGCGACTCCTCGTGAAAATCATCATCTGCCCCTGGTACCGGTACATGAGTACCGCCTCCAGGAGGTTGTGACGGAGGGTCACCACCGACATGCAACTCAACAGGATTATCATCCAAATCCTGCTCCGGATGCTGTAGTGGCATCTCCTCGTCATCCACAGGCATATCACCGTGGGGATCATCATAGCCTGGATAGTCCACATCGTCGTCCGTGGTTGGCGGTTGCGGTGCAACCGGGGCTGGCGCTGGCTGGTCCGTGAAGTCCAAACCAACATCAGGCCCGCGTCTGGAACTGTTGTTCTGTGACTCGTTCCAAAACACTATCATGGACCAGTGCGTTGATTGCATATCCTTGAGGCAAGGAAGCAACTGTGCCATCGTCACGAAAAACACATGATCCATATCACCCTCCTGCCACAAAATGACAACAGCATCGGGATGACGATGAACCAAAGGAAGTGTTTTCCCTTGAGTCCCCCTGTAGACGTTACAGTACTCAAACTCCAGATACGGAAGAGTCAGCATGCGCACATTCTTAATCATCGGCCGCAAGGCGACCGCGTCAGACGATGTGGTCGTGAACTTCAGCTCAGTACCTGGAAGGAGACTGTCAACATACGACAGAGCCTGGACCAAAGACGATGTAACAAAACGCTGCGGCACAACAAATCTCAGAGGTGTCGGAAGCTTCCCTTTGTCATTGTTTGAGAGTAATGAGTGCTCTGCTTCTGACGGAAGAACCGGTCAAGCCTCTGAATTGCGGTCTGATCGCAAACACAACGCACACAGTGTTCCGTCATCGAAATCCTCAAAGATGTCTTCGAACAAGTAAGATTGTCGGAGATCTGATCGTTCATCACCCACAAGACACTGCGAAAGCAGCACAGCAAACCTCGGATCAAGTGCGTTAGCAGAGTCATAGCCTTCTTCCAACGACTCCAAACGGCCAAATGATCCATCAGGCAAATTAGTGAGAAAAGAAAGCTCACCATGCTGATGCTTACCGTGGTCATCTCCCCCTGAAGGAAGTACACCACGGTTCTTGAAGGTGTGGAATGAAAGTCCTCTTCTCCACTTCAGTGAGCGACTACTCTGCGAAAGCCAGAACCCACAATGAGAAGGATACATGATGGTCACGAAATATCCATCACCCTTGTCATCTTGCCAACGGCAGACTTCGGCACAAAAGTGCCAGAAGGCATTGGCAGCCTTCCTGGGCCAACTGTCAGGAATGACAGGATGAATAAAAATGTGATCAGGCTCTGCCTTCAAGATCACTTGCCAAGCAACTTCAATCGAAGATTGGATAGACTTGGCGTTCCATTCACCAAACAACACAGGTTCACTCGCATCAAGTCCAGAATGGACAGTGCACGCAGTAAGCCCGGTGAGGCGAGGTGTGATCTCAACGAAATCGCTCTTGCCTGAAGTGAGAGTGTGGTAACAGATCTCATGCTCATAGCAGAACCCAGAACCGGCACGATCAAGAATATCGTCGCCGATGCGGTCGAGTGCCTCTTCCTGAGAAGAGCGTCTCGGGACCTCATCTTTCTTCAGAGGAATGGCCACATCATGCCACGGATCTCCATCACGCCTGACCTTCGACTGATTAACCCGAAGAACGGCACGATGAACTTCAACCAACACCATGGCACCTTCTTGTGACACAACTATACCTCTGACCCAGGTTCCTTCAGACTTCTTCTTCGACTCATCCTTATGCCAAACGAACACGCGGTCTCCCTTCGAGTAAGGACCATCAGACGGCATGACTCTTCGTGCAAGGTCCTTCCGAAGGTCGAGTGATTGTCTGGCCTCCTGATGAGCCCGCACGGCAATCCTCTGGAGTTCCAGAGTGGTTCGATCCTCCTCGGCAGGTTCAGCAGAGAGCTGTTCAGGAGAACTGTTCTCCACGTCAAACAAGTCTGGTGGACGTCTTCCGGTGGCTATCTCCAAAGGAGAATAGCCTGAGACGGTAAGCTGGCAATTCCTTGCCCATGCCACCTTCTTGACTGCTTGACGAACAGTCACCTTCTCTGCATAACCTTCATCAGCTAAGGCCTTGGCCATGATGGCCCATGTGCGCTTGAAAAGACGCACTGCGGTCTCAGCTCGATTAGGCCAAGGAGTTCGCGGTCCACATGGATATGGAGTAATTGTTGAAACTAAAGGCTTCTCAAGCCTTTCTTCCCACTCTACTTTCAAACACACTTTTCTCACTTCGCGGGCTGACTTGCTTAAGCCTCCGTGTCGCGGTTCACACACATGTTTCATGTGTTCTCGTGATTACTCTACACACTCTACTTGGGACTACGTGCACTAGGTTACAAACGAACACCCCGCCTCAGAAAGTTCTTGCGGGTTCCTAGGGTGTTCTTGGAAACTGCTAGGGCTTTCTGTACAGTGCTTTTGCTAGGGACTTTCGTCTCCGTTGTTCTTGGTCTTTTACCTAGCTGCACTCCTGCCCTGTTGCTACTTAGGCCTTCTATGTCTGTACATTGGCCTTCTTGAAAAACCTACTCTGTATGTACAGCTACGTTCTAGTTAGGTCCAGCCTATGGACTCTTTGCGGGGAGGCCCGTACCCCGGTTTCCTTCCGCCCTTACGTAGCCTACGGGCTTTTCTTCTTTCGGGCTTCTTCTCTTTGTTCTTGGCTTCTCCGGCTTCTTGCCTCTTCTGGCCCTTGTACCTTCCTAGCCTGCCTTTTGTGAAACTTCTTGTGAGACTTTGGAAGGTTGTAGCTTACCTAGGCTTACTGCCCCAGTTTGCTACGTCTATACATTTCCTCACACTTTGTACATGAATTCTTGTGCTAGTATACATCAAGTCTTACGTTGCTTAGCTATGTACATATGTACAAGCGCTCACTGCTTGACCTGCTCGATCATCCCTTCTCGGGATCCTTTCACTGGGTCTGTGCCCAGTTCTTGGACTTCTTGCCTTTACCCTTTCCTTTGGGTGTCCACTGGTCCCACTGGTTCTGCTGCGCCCACTCTTCTGGCGTCTGCCAGTAGCCTTTGTTGTGCGGGTTCGCGTTCTCGTACCAGTTGCTGCCGTCGTCGGTGGTGCTCCAGTTCTCGTTGTTCCACTGCTCGTTGTAGTACCAACCGTCGCTCTGTCCGTCGTCCCAGGAAGGGCCTTTTCCCTTCGTTCCTTGGTTGTCGTGCTTGCCTTTCGCGTGGATGCGTCGCTGCACCTCTTCCTCGATCTTCTCGTTCTCCTTGGTCTCGAGGAATTTATCCAACTCCTTTCCGTCTGTAAACCAAACGTTGTGCTTCCTGTAACACTCTGTCACCTTGTTCCAGAGCATGCGTCCCTTGACAGGCGCATTCTTGATTCTCGCTGCACCTTTCTTGTCTTCACACTTCGCGCGGTACTCTTGCGTCTTCTTGTTGAACTCCCACACGTAGCCAAGCTGCGTGAACTCGGCTATGTCGTTCGGGTCGACGGTAGCTTCGTCTCCTTGGTTGCTTGACGGCTTCTCTTCTTGGTCTTCTGTCTCTACCTGCTTTGGCCTTTTTCCTTTCTTCTTCTCTTCCTCTTTTGCCTGCGCTTCTTTCTTCTCTTTCTCTTCTTCTGCTTTGCTCTTGTACGCTTCTTCTGTCTCTTCTTCACCTTCGCTTCCAGACAAGGTTGCACCTAAGGTTTCCTTGAGGCTTTTGACCTTCTTCTTGTACTTCACGATCTTGTCCTTAGCTGCAAGTAGAAGTGCGTCCACTTCCTGTGAGTAACCTTTGAAGTACTGGTAGTCGTCCTTGAGGCTCTTGTAGTCGTACTGGAGGTCGTCGAGCTTCTGGTTCCTTACTTTCTCTTCTTGCTTTAGCACTTTAAGCTCTCTCTCCAAGTCCTTCTTTGCGTCGTCAACGTACTTCTTGGCGTACTCTTCTCTCTCCTGGTCGTAGCCGGCGGTTCTTTCCTGGGCTTTTCTCTCTCTCTTCTCTGCCTCTTTCTTCTTCTTCTCAACCTCTGCTTCCTTTGCTTTGACGTTCTCCTCAGCTTCTTCAAGGGCTGTCTCCTTCTCGCTTAAGACCTTAGCTTGTCCTTGGAGGGTCTCTCGGTCTTTCTCTAACTTCTCTTCTCTTTCTGTAACTTTGTCTTCCTTTTCCTTCACCTCCTTCTGCTTCTTCAAAAACCTTTTCACTGTCTCCTCAAACTCTGTCTTCTGGTTTCCAAACTGCTCCTTCTCCTTCTCCAGGTTTTCTTCCTCCTTCTTCAACTTCTCTGCTCTCTCTGTCACTTCTTTCTTTGCCTCGTCGAAGGAGTCCACGTCGTAGTTCACCTGAGCGGCAGGAGCTTCGTCTCTTTTCTTCCTTCGGTTCTTCTTCTTCTTTTCCTTCTCTCCACTTCTGCTTCCTGAGCTGCTTTCCTCTTCTTCTTCGCTGCTCCTCTCTTCTCTCTTCGGCTTCTTGTGCTGCTGTGGCTTTCTCATCTCGTTCACGACAAACCATGCCGCCATGCACACCATGGCGAGCGTCACCAGGACTTCCAGAAGCGACATGCTTCCAGGACTGCTTGGGACTTCTTGTGGGCTTGCTACTTCTTGAGCTGCGGCGAAAGGTACGTAGACTGCCTCAGTCTTTCCAAACAAACTTGAAAGTGCAAACAACATGCTGCTTTTGTTCTTCATGATCTTCTCGAGTCTTCTTACCACTTGTGCCTTTTCTTCTTCCTCTCGCTCTTGCTCTCCAACTCTTCCTTCGCTGTTGCACATGCCGATCATGTTCAGGAGAAACTTCACTCTTTTCGTGCTGAGAGGCTTTGTTCCTAGGTCTGCTGTGTTTTCCTTTGTACCAACTGCGTGTACAGTAAGCTTGCCTTCACGTATTGCTGCTTGTAGCCAAAGTAACCGAATCTGTAGGTGCTTGACTCTTCCTGTTCCTTGGCGGTTTGTGATTCCGCGGCATGCGGAACTGTCTGTGTATGCTTTGAGTAGTACTCGTTCTCCTGTAAGGAAACGAACTGCTGCGTGTAAACCTATTCCTTCGCTTGCTGCTCCAGTAAGTGCCATGTATTCTGCTTCTGCTGAAGATAATGCTATCGACTTCTGTGTCCTGCTGTAGCTGTAGAAGTATGCACCGTCCAGGTAGAACATGGCGCAACTCACTGACTTCCTAGTCTGCTTGTCTCCGGCCCAGTCGGAGTCGCTAAAAACTTCCAGCAAACGTTCGCGTGGTTGTTCTCGAGATTCTCGTAGTTCTTGTGGTTCTTCGGCGCGGTGACGTAGAGCTGACGTTCCTGGGCTGTTCCTGTGGTACGTAACGGCGTAGTCTGACGTTCCTTTGAGGTAGAGTGCCAAGTGCTCCAACTCCTTTCTCTTACGTTCCGTTGGCTTCGTCATGGCAGTACTGAGGCTACGTACTGCGAACTGAATGTCCGGACGGTCGTGCGCTACGTACAGCAAAATGCCGACACAACTTCTGTACGTTCTCGAGTGTTCCTCGTCCAGTTCTTGGGATACGTCAGGTTCCTGACTAGCCGGTGTGCAGGGTGAGTTCTTGGCCTTCTTCTTCTCCAGCTTGAGGATCTCCACGAGTTTCTTCACGTACTTGCTATCGCTATGTACTCGTAGTTCATGTTGTTCGTACGTGTACTTCCTTTTGAGAAACTTCACGGTCTCCTCAGAAAATCCTTTCTCGTAGTCTTCCTCGTTCAGAAGAGGTCCTTCAACTTGTAGGTTCACTTTCTTCTTGAGGTTCCTGAGGATTGGTTCGATGACTTCCTTCTTTCCTGCAAACTGCAAGTCATCTACGTGCACAATGCAAACTGCAACCACTTTTCCTTGTCGTAGAAGACGGTAAAGTGCTGGAACTGCAGTGCAACGCTCAAACTTCTCTTCCACCAAAAGACCATCACAAAAGTCTGACCAAAGACTGGATGCGTCGCGTTGACCTGGCAAAACTCTTCCTAACTTCCAACACCAAGTTCCAGGGTTGCGTTCTTGTTGTTCCTGCATTGCTTGTACAACGTGAGCTGCTTCTTCAGGTACTCGACACAAACAAGGTGTTCTTTGAGGGACTTGTAGAAACGCGTCCTTCACGTCGACACTGTAGATCGCCCAATGGTTGGCAAGAGCCAACATGGGCACCAGTTTTGTAATTCCTGGGCTTGTCGCAGGAGAAAATATATCTTCCCTTTTTCCTTCTGTCTTGTATTCTCTGGCTACTAGTCTGGCACGTCGTTGCCAGCATCTTTGAATCTGCTTGGGCTTTGTTGTTCCTTCTTTGGCTTCTTCAGCTTCAAAACCTGTAGCTTCTCTGAACCTCCAATCTTTCACCAACTTCGTTGTCAACCACTTGTGAAGTTCTTGCTCTGAATCTACCAGAGGTACGCTATCAGTTGCTTCCTGAGGGTCTGTAGAAACCAACGAAATAACTCCCATCTTTGTTAACCTTTTGATTTCTTTGACTGTAGCTTCATCGTCCAACTTCTGAAGAAAAGCCGGATCCACGTTCGGTGGTCCTTTCTCCTCGTCGAAGAACTCGACAGGGACCTTGGTAGAAACTTCCGTTGGTTCACTCTCTGTCTCCTCCTCTTCTTCTTCTTCCGACTCGTACACAAACTCATCATCTGCTTCGTAGACTTCATCATCATGTGGCATGTTGAGGTAACCGTCTGTTTCCTCTGCTCTGTTGACTTGCTTTCGTAGCTTGCTGGGTGAGCTTGGTTCCTCAGGCTCAAGGCTGTGCTTGCTTGCTTCCGCTCTTGGTTCAGCTGGTGCTGAAAGTGCTTCTGCTGAGGCTGTAAGTGGCTCGACTGCTCTGAGTTCCTCCAAAAGGGTCTCGTCATCAACTTCAGCTCTTCTTTTCCTATCTCTCGTCACACTCATGCTGCTGGCTTCACTTTGTTCCTCTCTGTCTTCAAGTGCTTGTTGCTGCTCTTCACTGCTGTCCTCCGAACTCGGAGGGTCGCTAGCGGCCTCGTCGTTCTCGAGCTGTTCGCGTTCTTCCTCGGCAACAGGGGGCAGGATGCTTAGCTGTGGTCGTTGTCTTTGCTTCTTCTCTGGAAGTACTCTTGCTCCAAGGAGTGGCGTGTTGAGGTTCCAGGTATGGACCTCTATGTTGCTTGTTCTTTTGGAGTCGTACTGTTCTGGTAGTGGTCTCACGCTGCGTGTGATATGTATGCCATCAGGCTGTGCAACGATCCATGTGTCTTGCTCTGTCTTGTCTAAAAATATTCCTGCATTCCATATCCTGTCACCTTTCTTCTTGATCTTCAACCTCTTCGCCATCACAACAGTACCAAAGGGTACAAGTTTCCCTGAGTAGGGGTATCCGTGGATAACTTCCTGTGGCGTTCTTCCTGTGGAGCTGCTCACTGCGAACCTGTTGAGTAGCCAGCAGGCGTGTCTAAACGCCCAGCTTACTACTGCGTGCTCGTGTGGTATTGCCAGCTGTGTTCTTTCTCTGAGTTCATCGAGAATGGTGTTCGCTTGCCTCCGTACTGTCTGTATTGCTCTTTCTGCGGCTCCATTGCTTTCGTGGTCGTAAGGAATGCTTTCCTGTAGTGTTGTAGAAAGTCCAAGGCTGCTGCGTACTTTCTGTACTTTGTCCTTGAGTGCTTTGGCTGCGTTCTCGTTGTCTGCTTTGAGAACGAGGGTGTTGTACCCGAGCTGCGTGGTGAACTGCACGAGTGCTTCCGCGAGGTGCGTTGTGCTTCCTGCTCCTCCTTTCCTCTTGCAGGGCACCGCCAAGACTGCCTTGCTCCAGCTGTCCACAGCGACAAGAGTCACTGCTGGTGGCTCTTCACTTCCTGTGGTGCTTGTATAGCAAAAGTCAAAACTGATGACGGGCTTCGCGGAATCCGTAGAGCTGCTTGGCTTGCTCAATCCTTTCTTGTGGTTGTCTTCTCGTGCTTTCATAGCAACGCAATGGGGACACCAAGGCTGATACGGAAGGTGCGTCAAGTTGTGGTACGCTCTCTCCTCTTCCGTTGGTTCCTGTGGTGGTGCTAGGTGGTATGCTTGGTGGTGTTCCCGTTGTTCCTTGTGTTGCGTGCTGAGCCTTTCTTCTCTGACTGCTGTGGCGAGTCTCTTCAAGAGCTGCTTCTTGCTTCCTGTTGTCTTCACTCTGTACTCTCTGCAAAGTGCTTGTAGTTCCTTAAGACTGCTTTTCTGCGCTGTGTACTCGACACCTTCGTGGTAGAAGCTTTCCTCCAAAACTTCAACAACTTCTTGTGGTGCTTCTTGGTCTGCTGGTGCCTCTCTCATCTCTTCGTCTTTACTCTCCTGCGCTTCTGGTGGTGCTGCTGAATCTTCCTTCTCTTTGTAGTGTTCTTCCTTCTTCTTCTTTAGCTCCTCTGCTGCAGCTTCTGCTTTTAGGTCTTCAACAACTTCTGGCTTCACACGGAACCTTGTTTGACCAAACCACGGCAAACGAAAGTGTTCACGTAGAGGTAGGCGGTCTGCTCTCCAGTCGTCGCTGTGTTCGTAGATCTCCGTACTGTAGATGCAGTCTCCTTGGGTATACCTGCTGTTCTCAAGATCTCCAAGGAGGACAGGACAGTTGGCAACTCCTGTCGGGTCAAACAGTACAGTTCTCGGTACTACGTGGTGACGAACAACTTCTCCCTTCTCGAGGTCCATTTTCCAGTAGTCACGACCATGACTTTCTTGCTCTGCTCGGTCTCCAGCTGCATAAGGGGTGCCAAGGATCCAAAGTGGAATTGGCTTTGCTGAAATGGCTGTAACCACTTCCTTTTCTCCTTCTGCAAACTCTTCAAAAGGGTCTGCCTTCTCGGAGTACTTCTTTGAAACTTCAACTGCTCTCCATCCTCTCTCTTCTTTCACCAAAGTGCTTCTGTACGGAAAGTGCGTAGGGCTATACATGAGAGATGGGTTCTCGTAGCTGCTTTGAGTGGCGTACTTGACGATCACCATGCTGTCTGTGTTGTGCCAACCAGGTTCTTCTTTGTTCACTGCTTCCTGAACGTGCTTGTTGAGCTGAACAACTGTCCGAACCATCTTGTAGTTGTTACTGCTGTAACTTCTGCTTCTTGAAGGAGTTTGTACGTAGGCGTAGGCTGCCAAGCTGTTCTTGTGGAGATGCACTGGTATTCTTGAGCTTCCATCTGTAAGACACATACCTTCTTCTTCGTTCACTCGCAACTCCCAGCCTTCTCGAAACAGCTTGCCTATGGCCATCAGCGGGTTGATCACCGAGGCAACGGTGAAGGCTTCCTGGATGCGACAAAAGCTTCCATCGTCATCAAAGAACGTTAAGTTCAGCATCCTTCTGCCTTCCGTCTTGATTGCCTTTCCTTGTGCGTCCTGAATGGACGAAGGGCGAACCTTCAAAGGGGTTCCTTCTCTTCCTAGCCAAGAGGGCACAAGAGAAACGTCTGCGCCAGAATCCAGGATAACTTCGATTCTTTGGTGAAGATCACTTTCCTGGAAGAACTCCTCTTCTACAACGCGCACTGAAAGAACTTCTTGTGGTGGTAGTGCTTCACGTCCAAGGTACCAGTTTAGTAGAGGATCTTCTTGCTCTTCTTCGCTCTCTTCTCCTTCTGACAAAACAAACTCTTCAGCTTCCGTCACTCTCAAGACTCTTCCAAAGTACTCGATCTCGAGCTCTTCTTCGTCTTCGTCAAGTTCAAAAACTTCAGGGTACGTGACGGGATCGTTGTCCATGTGGTACATCGCGATCTGCCGAACTGTTGGCTTAGCTGTAGACTTCGTGCTTGCAGTTCTTGTTGTTGTGGCTGCCGAAGCGCTACTGCTTGGAACTGTGGTAGGCTGTGTCCTGACGCTTTGTTCGTCTTCCTCCTGTGCGTTCCTGACGTTCTGCTGCATGTCTCTCTGCTTGAGTCTGCAATTGGCTTCGTAGTGTCCAGGCTTTTGGCAATAATGACAAACACCAATTCCTGGGTTGTTGTAGCCTTTACCTTTTCCTTTGCTGCTGTAGCCTTTTCCCCCGCCTTTGCCATATCCTCGGCCTCTGCCTTTTCCTTTTCCTTTTCCTCGTCCTTTTCCTTTTCCTCGGCCTTTGTAGTAGTACTGGCTTTCTCCTTTTCCTTTTCCTTTGCCGAAGCCTTTGCCTTTGTACTTGCCGAATCCTTTTCCTTTCTTTCCTTTTCCCTTTATCCTTTCCTTTGCCTTTCCACCATTCAACTCGTGAAACATCCATGTCTGCTTGTCCTTGGTGGTCCTTTCCTGAGTTGATGAGGTCTGTGGTAGTCCACCTTGCTGCTTGCTCGTAGGAGAGGAGGTACTGTCGTAGTGTTCCATACTTTGTGGTCTCCTTCTGGTTGAGTAGAAGATGTTGTCTCATGTTCCCTTCGGTTCCTCCAAGTATGATGGAAATCTTCATGTCGTCCGCAACAAGGTCTCCACTCGCTCTCTCGTACTCTTCAATCAACTCTTCAAACTTCAGGATATTTTCTTGTGTTGACCTTTGCTTGTCGAACCTGTAGTGAAGAACTCCATTAAGTAGTTGTAGAGAACGTGCACGGTTGTGAGGCTGATGCTCCTCCACCAACAACCTCCATGCTTCGAAACCGTTCTCGTTGGGTACTTGCTTTAGAGTTCGTAGAGGACGGCCACGTGTATAGCTGGTGAGGATGGAATGTAGCTTTCTTGAAAGTGCTTGTTCACCTGGGTTAAGTTTACTCCATTCCCATGATGCTTCTCTTCTATCCATCTCGACTGCGTTGATCTTCTCAAGGATGTCGTTGTTGAGAGCGCCTATCCAACTTCTCAGCTTCAACCGAAACTCTAGAAAACCATCACGCTCTTCTTTGTACGTAGTAGGGCCAAAGACTTCTGGAGATTTGATCATCTTGTGGAGGTCGATCTCTCCTGGCCTTCTTGACTCTGCGTGCTGCGACAGTGCTGTAACTGCGTCTGCTGTAAGCTTTCCTGTTGCTGCAACCGCGTTTGCAGTAAGCTCTGCTTGTTGTGACAGTGCTGTGTTGGTTGCTTGGGTTGCTTCTGTAATTGCTCTCTGCTGTTGTGAAACTGACTGCGCGAGTTCTTGTAGTTGTTGTGAAGCGGTACCTGCCTGCGCTTGCTGACTGTTCATTGCTTGAGCAAGTGCTTGTATCTGTTGTGTGTTTTGGGCAGTAAGGTCCGTGAGCCTTTGCAAGGCTTCCTCCATCGCAACTGCACTCTGCATGTGACTGTAAAGCAACACAACATGCAACCAGACTCGCTTCTTGAAAAGAACGCTGCAAACTGACCTGTGCAACTTCCTTCTCGAAACTTTCTTCTTCAACTGTTCTCTTTTTGTTTGCTTAACTCTGACCCAAAAATAGAGGTAGATCCAAGTGACCATACCAAGCGGGGTCCCAAGTAGAAGTAGTACTGGGTGACACGTGCGCACGACGTAGCTCACGACGGGCTCAAGGCTTCTTCCTGCTTTCGCAAGGTACTCTTGAAACTCCAAAACCAACTCAAACACAAGGTTCTTGTAGTAGTTCACGTGGGGAACTTCTTCGTTCTTTAGGTTCTCGTTATACTCCGCGACATCACCTTCATGAAAACTGTAGTTGCAACTTTGTTCCTTTACTTCTGTTCTTGTAGAACTCGGAGTACACGTTCGTCTTCTTGAGGTAGCTCGTGACGTTGATCTCGTTCTCGTTCTCGGTTTGGTATTGGGCTCATGTAGATGCGACCACAACGTGAAAAGTTCTGTGTGATCACCTTCTTGGCTCTTCCCGGCAGGTACAACATCCGCTGGGGTAATCTCCTTTATCACATGCTTCTTCTTGGGGTTCTTGTTGTCGAGGCTGAGGACCTTGTTCCTGTAGTTCAGCATGCGGTTCATGGCCAACGGGTAGCCGTAGGTCTCGTTCACTTCAAACACCATGAACCATGACATGCCCATGAGAACCACAACCATGAAGACTTTTAGCCAAAGGTACTTTCCTGCTGCTTCCAAAAGGGTTCTCTTGTACTCGAAGGTGCGTTGCTCCCGGGATCGGAGTCCGCCGGGACAGCAGTACTTGCATGGTAGTACTCGGTGTACGCTGGTTGCGTTCCTGAGGCCATGACATCTTCCTGAGGTGTGGGTCTTCTCTCCGTAAGGCGAGTACCAGAGTTCTGGTAGCTCTTCCTCAGCTGGAGCTACGCGCTCCACCGTCTCCTTTCTCACAAGTTCTTTCACAAAGCTTCTCGCCAGACACATCAGCGAAAAGGCCAAAGCCAAGGAAACCATGGCGACAGCTACCTGTTGTTCCTGTGATAGCTTCATCGCTCCCAAGAGGTCTGAATCAGGGAGCTCCGCTACCATGTTGAAACTAAAGGCTTCTCAAGCCTTTCTTCCCACTCTACTTTCAAACACACTTTTCTCACTTCGCGGGCTGACTTGCTTAAGCCTCCGTGTCGCGGTTCACACACATGTTTCATGTGTTCTCGTGATTACTCTACACACTCTACTTGGGACTACGTGCACTAGGTTACAAACGAACAGTAATGCCATGGAACTTGTAATAGGACATGAACTGTGGCGTGAAAAATGCTTGATCTCCTACGATTCCCTTAGGAACGCAGTTGTTCTCCTCTGTCCATTGTCGAAAAGCTCCCAGAGTCTCTGGCGCTTCCAGGCTTGTGAGAGCCGTAGCCCACAGGAGATTCGAAGCACCATCAATGATGACCAAAGCCAGATAGGCTTTAGTACCAAACTTAATCTCTTCGTGATCAACAAAAATGAGATCACCGAAGGATGATGCTCTCAATCCTGCGATTCTGGCTCGCGGAGGCGTAGGCACGGAGGTGCTGCAAACACGACAGCCTTTGACAATGCGGTCGTACTTGTCATAGATCTCTCCTGGCAGCCCAAGCATGCTGGTCCTGCGTCGAAACTGAGCAGGACTCATGTGGTAATGCTTCACATGCAACTTGTAAAGCTCAACATCATTGTTCAGCTTTTCCAACATGCGCTGATACTGCGGAGAAGCCCTTGAGACCTCGTGGCCTGGCAACGGAAGCGCGATCCTCCTAGGTTCTAGCGACTGTGGCTCTGGGGCCCTCGGAGGAAGCAAATCTGCATCCCCCGGTTCGGACGGTTCGTACTCTTGAAGATCCGGATCATCTTCAGGAGCAGGAGGAGAAGGAGCCGGTTCCTTGGGTTCCTTTCCCTGTGGAAAGCTTCCCTTAGCTCGAATTCTTCTTCTCTCCGGTGCCTTTCCTTGAGGAAAGCTTCCGGATGCTCCTGTGTTCTTCGAGCTGTCTTCAGGTTTACCTGTGCTAATCATATCCTCTGGAGATCCTACCTTGCCACGGGTTGGATCCTTGGTCTTAGCCGGCACCGAGGTTCTACTCTCGATGCCACCAGGCAGAATCTTGAAAATGGTCTTGCCTTTCCAAGAGTCAGTAGTTCTTGTTGAAGAAAGCTCAGAAGAACGCCAGTCATCTTCTTGAGTTACGCTCTTTCCCTTGGAGAACTCCATGATCGTCTTGCGCTTGGTGTCCAGACACTCCAACGGAATAGGAACAAAACCCACCTTGGGTTCGTACTTGACCCTTCTCATCTTCTTGTGGATGCGAATCATCTCCATGTCGGCTTCATTGATCACCCACTCATCATCCGTCGCCAAAGCGAAATTCTTGGGTACCTCTTCCTGAGAAGAGCATCCCTCGGTCTTCTGATGGAAGCCGTACTCATAGTGGGAGTAGTAGGTGAGGAAGCTCGACTTCTTATGCTTGCTGAAACGCACATTCCACATCAACTGACTGAGTTCAAGAAGGTCAAGTACCAGGTGTGAGCTCGGTGCAACCTTCAGCCTCACATCCTTGATTCCCAGCACAGAGCTGCTGAGCAAGGCCTTTTCCGGATGGAGCTCGAACTGGAAACGAAGATTGCGCATCTGAGGTAAGGACATGAGAATGGGAATGCCCTTGTTCCACAATGTCGAACTCTGTGGATTGAACTGCAAAGTCCCGGTCGTACATGCAAATGACCAACTTCTGGTTGCATTTGGTCGACTCGGAATTGGCAAAGGTGAACTGAGAAGTGGTCTCAGCAATGGTGTACCATATGCCGCAGTTCTGATTCTTGTCACAGAACTCCATGAGGTCCTGTGCGGCCACTCTCGAAGCCATTGCTCTCGTACATCCCAAGTCCAACACCATCGCGGTTGGCGCCAAGGGCTGAGAGATGAAGGCTTCTTCGATCTCATTGATCTTCTCTTCGGTGGCCATGAAAGAAAGGTTCGGAGTGTTGAGATGTTCAACGAAGAAGGTTGTAGCGGCTGTGGTGCCGCTCGGGGCAGCATCAGCAAGCTGGCTCTGTCCGTCCTTTCCGGACTTTCCATCTTTTCCATCTTTGCCAAACTTGCTCTTTCCTTTGCCCTTCTTCCCTTTCTTACCTTTTCCTTTGGCTGCATAGGATTCCTCAGACTCATACCAGGACCAGTCATCCCAGGACTGATCGTTCCACTGGTAATCTTGCCACTGTCCTTCTGCCTGCCATGATTCTGATTCTTCGGCAAGATTTGACCTGCCTTTCTTCCTCTTGAAGAAGCGCCTTCCTTTGGATCCTTTGCCACCTTTTCCTTTGCCTTTGCGGTGGCCCTTGAATCCGCGCCTCATCTTGCGGCCTTGGAAACGCCGCTGGAACCATGAGTAGTTCTCATCGTCGTAGACCCAGAAGGCGTCCTCATCCGCTTCGAGGAAACCTTCTGTGCCATCCTCCTCGTCCTCGACCCAGTAGCCTTCGTGATTGTCAAGAAATCCTTCATCGATCACAAGGAACGTCTTACGGCCACCGTGGCCCGAAGGAGCGAGGACGGTAGTCTTGGTCGTGCAGAAGATCTCCAGGTAGACTTCACGCAGCTCGGCCATGTTGTAGTCAGCTAGGACTCGGTTCCGATGTGCCATCAGTGATGTCAACACCTGCCGCTGATCCTGTGTCAGATCAGACAGGGACACAAAGATCAAGGCGACCAGGTTGGGCGTGATCGGAATGGTCCGAGCATGCTGCTCTCTGAGCCGTTCGTTGGCTCTATCCATTGCCTGAGCTGGCGTAATATCTGCTTGTTCTTCTGGAGGAAGTCCTGCTATGAAAGCTCTGACCTCTGCATTGTTCGGATCCTCGATCGGCAGATAGGTATCGTTCCACGCTTCTTGCATTCTCTGTACAGAGAGTTGAAACCTGGTAATCCAACGAAGCATGTCTCCGTTCCCGCGGTGCATATTCATGAACTGCTGGAAGCGGTAGAGAAAGACATTCGCTGCTCCTTTCACGAAGAGCGGCCGCAGGAAACTCTTGAAGTACTTAACTCCGTTGTTCGGGTCCTTCAGGCGATCTCTGTCGAGAAGCCTCTTGTGGATTGCTGCTTCACCTTCTAACCGATTTCTCAAAGCTGGTCCACGCTTATCATTGTCTAGCTCAGTAATGTCACACCAGTCATCGATCGCATCTTCGTAGGCAAGCCAACTGCTTCTACCATCATAAGATGGAGGTACCTTGGTGGTCACCTGCTGGAAAGCTGAAAGACGGTGTAGTTCATTGAGATGACGATGATTCGTCGCGTAAGATTCACTGCCGTGAAGGAGGCAAAGATAGTCGCAGAGTGGCTAGCCATCGCGCTGTTCTTGGATCGAGCCCCGGGAGAAAACTCTTCCGGTTATCTTCACCTGAGCGAAGTGTGCCGGAGAGACTCCGGTCACCTTCACCTGAGTGAAGCACACCGGGTATTCCGGTTGCCTCCACCTGTGTAGAGAGTACCGAACGGGTACCTCCACAAGTGTGAAGCTTCCCGTTTCCCGGGAGCTCCGCTACCACGTTGAGATGTAACCTGACGTGTATCCCCTCGCTAGGCGTACAGGAACACAGGCACTCAGGTGTCTCTTTTGCTACAGGCGCACAGCTGTAGTCCACTGCACTAGAACCTTGAGCAACAGGCATGGATACATGCAAGTGATACGTGAAACAGACAGGCACCTGGATGTGTAACATTCAGTGTTTCACCCCCCCCCCCCATGGTATCCCCCCCCCCCCGGAGGCCTTTTCTGTGATCCCACGTAAAGGCTCCAAAACCATCAACTGTCACGAGGACGGCGCCCCTCACCGTGCACGTCTCCCACATGAAGGCACCACAACCGGTAACCGTCACGAGGATCGCGTTCCAAACACGCCCGATCCTTGTGACAGTGGACACCTTCCGTCCGAACCCAGGCAACTGTGAACAGGACCGCGTCCCTGACAGGCCCGATCTCTGTGACCAATTGTCAGGAAGATTGCCAGTGTGACACAAGATAAATAAACAGAAAGGAACGACATGATGATGATCATGATGATCATGTTCATGATCTTGATGGTGATGGTGATGATGGTGATGATGATTATTATACCAAACAGCCCAAGCAGGCCCAAACCCCGAAGCACGCCACACCGGGAGGGAGGCACCCCACGCAGACCCAGGGGGAGGCACCCCACGCAGACCAAAACCCCGAACCACGCCACATCACAGGGGGGGAGCAGGGGGACCATCATTTTCATGATGATGATCATGATGATGATGATGGTGATGCTGATGATTATAAGCCCCAGGCTCACAGCAGAGTGCCCGGAATCTTCTCTTTCTTGGGGGCTCGTGTTTCTTTTGGTGTCTCTTCTGTTTCTTCGGTGAAGTTAGATGAGCGATCATGGCAGCTCTGGCCCTCCAGAGCCTTCCTCGGATGAGCTGGAAAGCACAGAGCGCACGCCGCGAGATCAGCAAGTGTACGGCCCGCCAACGGCCGCAGACCTGGCTCCGAAGGGGCCGCCGAGACCTGTTCCTGTGCACTATGATGCTGCTAGCCACGCGCTGCCTCCTGCTTTGGCTGATCCAGCCACAGTCTCCGATGATAATGCCGACGGAGAGGATCATGATGGAAGTGCCCGGCCAGGGCCTACACACACAAGGTCGCGAAGACGACCCCGTGCATCGACTTCTTCCAGCTCCAGCTCTGACTCTGAGACCCATAACGCCGCTCACGCTACCGATGAAGACGACGAAGAGGAGCCAGATGCAGACGCGGCAGCAGATGCCGCCGACAGCCAGATGCCTGTGACACCTTCGTTACTTTGTACCGAAGACAGCTTACAGAACAACCAGAAGGCATCAACAACAGGACAGTGGGAGCACGTGTTGGTGCTCTGCGACGCTGCCTGCGACAGCTTCGATGGCCACAGGTCCAGGGGTTCGCGACACAACGTCTGGAAGGGCAGTA